GACCCATGTGTTAATTCGAGTCATCCCTAAAAAGAACATAAATTTAAAATTTAAAGAAAAAAAATACATGAAAATACCAAATTAAAGGAATTAACCTTAAAATTCCAAACATAAAATAAAAAACTTGAGCATTCAACAACTCAAATAGTAAAAGATAAATAATAAAGATCAAAAAGTGAAAATTTATAACAATACATAAATAGTCCCAATTAGACCTAACAATCGGGTCAATAGGTTGATCAATGACTTAACCTAGTTTTTTTGGGTTGGGCCATTCTCAAATCCAGGAAGCTGAATATGAGACCCTAACTCTTTTTTTTTTTCTTTTTTCTTTTTTGGGTTGAGTCAACTTTTTGCGAGGCTAGGTGAAACATATTGACATGATAGTTTAGGCTTTTCAATCTCTACTCATTTTGTTTTACTTGGTTGGATCATGTCTTGCCTTTTGATTGATTATTATGATTTGATGTACCCGTGGTAATTTGTTTGTGAATAAAGTTTTGATTACCAAAAACAAGGATTAAAATATCAACATGATACAAAGCGTATTGTATTGGTATGATATACATCTAGTCATGCGTATCGATAAGATATAGGTTAATATCAGTGTGTATCACACTATATTGATTGATACGGACTGGTACGTGCTGAAACACACTGATACGCACACATCTCTTATTTAAAAAATGCATTTGCTAAGATTCAAACTTAAGTCCAAAAACCTGCACCACTATGCGACTAACGTCTTGAGCCACTACGTCATCATGCAACTAGGGATGGCCACGAGCTGAGCTTCTCATGAGCTATTCGAGCTTGGCTCATGAAAAGCTCAGCTCGACTCGATTTAAATTGAGTTTCGAGCTCAAGCCCAGTGAAGCTTGGCTGGTGAGGTTGGCGAGCCTAGTATAATAAATAAATAATTTTTTATTATATACATACATATACATATACATATATATAATAAATAATTTTATTATATATAATAATTTTATTTTTTATGTATAATAGTAAATAATTTTTATAATTCTTATTTTTTGTATGTAAAATAAAAACATTTTTGTATGTATATATATTTTTTATTTTTATATGTATCATAATAAATAATTTTTATAATTCTTAATTTTTTGTATGTAAAATCAAAAAATATTTTTATATGTATAATTTTTATTTTTTAGAAAAAACTTGGATTGCAGTCGAGCTTGAACTTGCAAGCTTTGAACTGAGCCGAGCTTGATCTCGAGTCTCTAGCTTGAATCGAGCTTGAGCCTAACACAATTTTAGTTAGCCACACTTGAATAGCCAAGTATTCGGCTCGGTTTGGCTCGAATCCACCTCTACATGCAACTTGTGATATCAAGTAAAATAAAATAACTATTATTAACTTTATTATTTAGATGCATCCTAAATAAATAATATATGTTTATGTTCAAAAAGAAAAACTTAAAATAAAAAAATAACATTAAAAATTAGTATTTTATAAACATTAATGAACTAAACAATCTATCAAATTTACATTTATATAAATTTTTTTCTTACTCTCAATAAATTTATACAAATAAAAACATTAATAATAGAATAATTATTTTAGTATTTAAAATTCCTAAATTTGTACATTATATGTATCTTCGAATTTTAATATATTTTTTATAAATTATTCATTGATATTTTAATTTAGACTAGAAAGTAACATAATTATTATTTATAAAAATAAAAAATTTTGTTTACAAAATATTCAAGAATATAATATTAAATTGAATTTATCAAATCCACTAATTTAAATTTATATAAAAATGATTTTTTATTGAAGAAAATTTATAGAAAAAATGTTAATAATGGAATCGTTAATTAAGTAATTAAAAATTATCAATTTCATATGATATGTATCTTCAAAATTTTAATAATTTTTATATATTTTCAGTTGAGATTGAAGTAAAAATATCATAATAATACATGTAGAAAAATTATGAATTTGATATGATAATAATTTTGATATTATAAAACATTTTAAAATTTAATATTTAATTGACTGTTTTGTTAATGTTGAAAAGTAAAAATAGAAAGTAATTGCTATGATAATTAAAATATAATAATTGCATATGTTTTGTGTCTTGTGTTTACATAATTTAATATAATAATGGTTTTGTGCATGTTTTATTTTGTAAAAACTATATAATATGAGTCTTGGACTCTTGATCGATAGATTATCAACAAAATCGTATGATATTTATGTATCTTGTTATATTAATAATATATTTCTTTATTCTTAAAATATACATTTTTATGTATTTATACTTTATTTGTGGCTATTTTGACTTTTAAAGTTAGTGTAATTGATGTGTTTATGAAATTTGTATTATTTTCCTAATGTATCTGATGTAACCGTTTCCGGTCACGTACCATTTTTTGTGATGTATAAATTTTTTTGGCTAAGTACCTCGTTATTTGACCCAGTGGTGACGTGCCTTGGTGACGAGCTACTTGGTGGCGAACTCCTTGGTGGAGAACTGCCCAGTGGCGAGCTCCCTGGTGGCGAACTGCTTGGTGGTGAGCTCCCTGGTGGCGAACTGCCTGGTGGCGA